AATCGCTGAGCAGCAGCAGACTCAGGATCTGGGCTCTTCGGGGGAGCCCTGGAATGTCATCGCTCTCCTTCCCCTCTCTCTCCCTCCCTCCCTAAGCCTGCTTTATTCCTCCCGTTCTTGCAAATCATTTCAGGACATGTGCCCACACTCACTCCCTCTAGCCCACGGACCTCCCTGCCATTCCTAGAGCATGTCAAACACTCTCCTACCTCAGGGCCTTTGCACTTGCTGTGCCCGCTGCTTAGGACACTCTTCTCTAGATCTCCCATGTTCACCGCCTGCCTCCTTCAAGTCTTGGCTCAGATATCAACTCAGTGGGGCCTTCCTTGACCAACTGATTGAATATTGCAACCCACCCCCACCCCAGCATGCTCTAGTCCCCTTCTCCTGCTTTCTTCCTCTTTTCCTCTAACCTTGGTGCACACACAAAAAAATGGGCTAATCATCATCCTTGGTTCATAACCCACTCTCATCAGCTTTTAGTGATTAATTTAATCATATAATAAACACCTGTGAAACCACCCCCAAAACAAAAACTAGAATCTTGACAATAACCTACATCTAACCATGCAGTTCCCCCATCCCAGCATCACATGCCCTCACCATAATCCTCACCCCAAACCTTGTATCTATTCTTCCAGTTTCCTTTTTATAGCTTATTATTGCACATATATATATATATATATATAGTTTTAGTTGCTTTTAACTTTACTTAAAAGGCGTCATGTTTATGTAATGGGACATTTCTCATTGGCTATTCTGTTTCAGAGATCCATCCATATTGCAATGTGTGGCTATAGTTCCTTCATTTTGACTTCTGTGTAATATTTCATTGTGGGGATTTATTCATCTGCTTGCCCACAGGTGGAGATTTGATCTGCTTATCAATTTTGGCCACTGTGAGCAGAGCCCCTATTAATATTCTTCCATGTGACCCTTGTTGCAGATGGGCATGAATTTCTCCAGGGTCCATAATTTGAAGTAGAATTGCTGGGTCATGGGGTATGCACGTGCTCAGCTTTAGGAGATAAAGCCAAACTATTTTCTAACACGGTGGCACCGATTCACATCCCCACTAGCAATGTCTAAAATATCTAGTTTCCTCCAGAGCCCATAAAATTTATGATATACTATGTATTTTACTTATTTACTTGTTTGTTCTCTATGTCCCCCACCCCCTCCACTAGAATGTCAGCACCGGGAGGGTAGTGATTTTTGCTCACTATTGCATCCCCAGTACCTAGATTGGTGACTGGCACATAGTAGATGCTCAATAAACATCTTTTGATTGAATGAACAAGGGATGGCTGAAACAAGACCCAAGAGCTCATATTTGTACTATTGGCCCAACTACCTGGAGATGGGCTAATTCGACTATCTCATAGTTTCAATCCCCCAC